TCTTAAATGGAATGGTTTATTTGACTTCAAGGATCCTTCCTGCTGTACCAGTATTCTGTCTAGTCCATGAATGATAGATACAGTGTGACAACTTTAGAGACACTCCTTGAGGTCTATGGGTTTTTGCAGGCAGAATTCCGAAGTCCAGGTTTGGACGTCCAGTCCTAATGAACAAAGTCCTTTGGCTGCAAATACATCCTACAGTCTCTTACTTTCTTCCACAGATTCTCCCCACCGCACAAAAATCACCTAAAGCTATCAGTGGAAGAATATGATGAGCAATGCACTCAACACACAGTCTTACTGGGGAAAAAAAAGTAAACCTTAATTTAGAGCCAATTGCTAAAGTCTACTGCACGCTTTATTTTTGGCGGTTAGCACAATAATCTGGATCTCCAGCATCTTGTAGATCTATCTGTTCCCAGGATCAAGTTTATAAAGATGTAAAAGCCTGTAGGACATTAACATTTACTGAGGATCTATTATATGTGTCAGGTCTTGGGAAACTTAAATCTTTCAGGTAGGAAGAATTTTGATTTAATTTTTGTGTTGGGAGTGACATAAGGGTCAACGATCATAATTTACTCACCATAAAACTCATCTGTTTTAAATAGATTAGGGAGTTTTAGTAAATTCATGCGTTTATGCAACCCCCACCACAATCTGGCTTAAGAATTCTATCTCCCTGAGAAGTTCCCTCATCACTTCTGCAACCATCTCTCAACCTCCAGCCCCAAGCAACCTCTGATCTGCTTTGTCTCCATAGTTTGCCTTTTCTAGAAATTTCTTATAAATGGAATCATATAACATGTGGTCTTTCATGTCTGGATCCTGTCCACTTAACATGACGTTATTGAGATTCATCCATGTTGTTCTGTGTCTCAGTAGATTCATTTCTTTTTATAGACAAGTAGTATCCCGTTGTATGGATATGGCACATTTGTTTATCCATCTACTTTATGTGGAAGTAGATTTGCTGGATCAGATGGTTAAGTGTCTGTTAAACTTTTAATATATTTTTTATTTTTATGATTTTTTAATGTTTATTTATTTTTGAGAGAGAGAGAGAGACAGAGCGTGGGCAGGGAAGGGGCAGAGAAAGAGGAGACACAGAATCCGAAGCAGGCTCTAGGCTCTGAGCTGTCAGCACGGAGCCCATTGCGGGGCTCGAACTCACAAGCTGTGAGATCCTGACCAGAGCTGAAGTCGGATGCCCAACCGACTGTGCCACCCAGACGCCCAGTGTCTGTTTAACTTTTAAACAAATTGCCAAAGTGCTCCAAAGTGAATATGCCATTTTACATTCCAACCAGTGCTATATGAGATTTCTGGTTTCTCCACGACTTTGCCAACACTTTGGCACTATCGGTCTTTTTTTTTTTTTTTAAGTCTGTTTATTTTGAGAGAGAGAGCGAGAGTTGGGGAGGGGCAGAGAGAGAGAGAGAGAGAGAGAATCCCAAGCAGGCTCTGAGCTATCAGCATAGAGCCTGATGTGGGGCTCGATCTCACAAACCCTGAGATCATGACCCGACTGGAAATCAAGAGCTGGATGCTTAACCAACTGAGCCACCCAGACATCCCTGGCACTATCAGTCTTAATTTTGGCCATTCTCATGGTAGGTAGTGGTATCTTACTGTTGTTCTCACCTGCATTTCCCTAATGAGGAATCTTACTCAGTGTCTTTTCATGGGATCATTTGCCATTTGTATAGCCTCACAGGTTAAGTGTCTACTCAAATTTTTTTCTAATTCTTAATTGAATTATTACCTTCTTACTATTGAGTTATAAAAGTTCTTTGTGTATTTTGGTTGAAATCCTTTGCCAGAAAGTGACTTTGCAATTTGCTTCCAATCTGTTTGCCTTTTTGTTTTCTTAATAGTGTCTCTGAAGAGCAAAAATTTACGTTTGATGACGTCTAATTTACCGATTTTTTTTTCTTTTAATGTCCATAGCTTTTGTATAATATCTAAGAAAATTTCCCCTAACCCAAGGGAGATTTTCTACTTTTTTTCTCCCAGAAGTTTTATAGTTTCAGTTCATACATGGAAGTCTATGATCCATTTTGATTTAATTTTTGTGTTGGGAGTGACATAAGGGTCAACGATCATTGTTTTGTATGTGGAAATCCAACTATTCAGGCACTGTTTGTTGAAAAACCATCTTTTCCTTATTACTTTGGTACCTTTGATAAAAACCAACTGACCACATAGATGAGGATTTATTTCTGGACTTCTGGCATCACTGATGCTCCTGAGTATTGTAGCTTTAAGGTTAAGTTTTGAAATCAGGAAGGGCGAAGTCTTCCAATTTTGTTCTTTTTCCGCACTGTTCAGGCTATTCTAGGTCCTTTGCATTTACATTTTAGTATCAGTTTGTCAGTTTCTATCAAAGAAAAGAGATTTTGACAGAGATTACATTGAATCAGTAGATCGATTTGGGAAGAGTTGCCGATACAGAGTCCTCTAATCCAGGAATACGGTACATATTGCATTAACCTACTTCTTTTATTTCTCTCAACAGCATTTTGTAATTTTCAGTGTGCAGCTTTCATAGTTCTTGTGTTGAATTTATTCTTACACATATTCTTTCTGAGGTTATTGTAAACAAAATTGATCTTTTTAAAATTTCATTTTCAGATTTCCATTACTAGTATGTAGACGTGGAATTGATTTTTAAATATTTACCTTATATCCTACAACTCTGCTAAACTAAGTTAATATTCTTAGCAGCTTTTTAAATAGATTACTTTGGATTTTCTACGTACAAAGATCACATTGTCTGTGAACAAGAGTGGTTTCATTTCTTCCTTTCCAATTCTTGAATTTCTTGTTCTTGCCTTATGGTCCTTGTCTTTTGTATTTGAATTATTAGCAAACTTCCCTTCAGTACGCTGTACATCGACACTCTTATACTCCTTCCGTAAATGCTGACGTCACCACAATGAATGACCACTTTTACCCAGTGTATGTCACTGCCTACCAGTCGAAACTTCAGTTTCAGCAGCACTGCTATCCTGCTTTATAAAAGCATCGTGAAAATACAATATCACAGACCATTTCTAGGATGCAAGGTATAATTAGTGAGTTTAAAATACATTTTAGTTCTTCGGGAATAGAAGTGCCTTTCTGGTGGGTACCACAGCTCAGCTCCTGAGAGGAGCACACTGGCTCTCCAGTGTGGGGAGAGCAGGACTGAACCTACACAACTTCTGGGAAAGGGAAAACGATTCCTATGTGGAAATCGGAGAAGAGACACAGAACCGAAGTGACTGGCTGCAGTTGTACAGTAAATAGTGGAGACGAGATTCAAACTCACGTCTGTGTGGTTCCAAAGGCTCTAAATTGGGCCCCTCTTTTCCAGAGCAGCCCATTTCCCCGATGGGTACCCGGAAGCCCCAACCTTCCACGTCTGCTCGGGAAGCCTCTGGTTCCACATCTGCATGGTTCTAACCTTCTCACCGGTGACTCACAGCAAGTGTGTAACCACCAGAGAAGAATTTATCTTCCGGGTCTGCTCTCTCCCAAAATACCAGCCCAAAGGCCTGAATGCTATAATAAAAAGATCTGAGGTGGTGACATAAATAAGATCCATGTGCATAAATGTAGAGAGCTGGGTTTGAAATGGGTGAGTTTTCCTTTTGAGTTTGGGGGGCAGAAATGCCCAGGAAGTTTGAATAAGGAAGAATATGAAAAAGTTTTTCAGTGAGGGCCATTCAGGCTTTTCTTCTCTGCTTTCGTTTTTGGGCAGACACTTTACAGAATGAACGCATTCCAAAGCAGAAAAGTGACCATGAAACCGTTACATTGTGGATCGGGGACAGAGCTCAGACTTCTTTCTCAACACCCCACAGAAAAATTCTGACCCTCGGGTGCGGATGATTCAGACTAACATCTTGATAACGTGGGCTTGTAAGGTCAGAGAAGAGGAGGACACAGATCACAGAAAAAGGAAACTCTCAAAAGCGATCCTCATTGCGCCTTAAGTAAACACTCCCTTGATCTGTTGGATGTGTTGGTTAATTAGAAAACATTCCAATAGGCTTTTTTTTCGTGAAACAAATACAAATCTTAAGTCCTCTGCACTCTGGGCAATACACAAAACCAGAAGCAATGCTCTCAGTTCCCAAATGTGCCAAATAAGCCCTCTGAAGCTGTCCTATAGGATTCTGCCTTCTGATCAGAAGACCTCTGAAGAGACGTTTTTCACAAACCCCTTATTTTAGGTCTTGTACGGATTTGTTCTTTATCAATCCTCCTCCCCAAATAAAACATGTATTTTACGGCCCTTAGAGCGTTCAGACACGAATAGGAATGCCTTGGAAAATCTCTGTAGTTAGCAAAATACTGGAAACAGCCTACATGGTTGAGGGACAAGGTGGCACGTCCGCCAGGACAGGGGCCAGCAACCATAGCGCAGGCCGCCGCTTACTTCCAGAAATACAGTTTTACTGGAACCCGGCCATCACGCCCATTCACTTCTGTCTTGTCTGTTGCTGCTTTTTTGCTATAAGGGCAGAGTTGAGGAGTTGCCACTAAGACCATCTGGCTCGCGAAGCCTAAAATATTTACTATTGGTCCTTTACAGAAAAAGTTGGTCAGCTCCTGTGACGATACGTTTAAAATAATACGGAAAAATGATTCCTGTTAGGTCGTCAAGAAAAAAAAATGTGACGAGCACACGACATTTCATGTATGGTGTGGCCGGGAGGATGCGCAACAAAGGGAGGTGGGCGGCAAAGAGACAGAAAATGTTACGCGGTTGGATCTGGGTGGTAGCGTGATGGGTGATTTTCCTTGTCCCCATCTATGTGTTCCAATTCTCTAAAATGCCCCTGTATTTCTTTCATCATAGCAAAAAACACCGAACCTCACCTTAAACATTATTTTGGCTCAAGTCACACTTGAGTGGTGGGTGTGACTAAACTCAGCTCTGTCTCCCCGCCAGGCGCCCTCCCCACCTCCCACGTATGCTGAGGGGCGGGGGCAGGAAGGGCAGGTACCTTATGCTCGTCCCGAAGGTGGCTGTCCAGCTCCTCCGTGTGCTTGGTCTCGTAGTAGCAGAGCTGGCATTTGTAAGGTTTCAGTTCATTGTGCTTTTCTATGTGTTGCTGGAGGCTCTCGTCACTGGAGCAGGTGAAGGTACACTTATCACAGCGGAAAACTACTCCCTGCAAGTATTTTGACAGTTTGGAACGGCACACCTCAATGGGGACGACGCGCTCTTCTGTGGAAACAAATTGAACGGAAAGGGGGACATTTTTACTGATGGGAAAGTAAGCACATGCTCTTTCTTTGGAATATAGGAAAAAACGCACCCAGTTTTGCTGCTTCGCGTGGGTCCGTGTCTGTGAACTCACATGCGCGCTGCCCCTCCCTCAATTCCCCAAACAGCACCTTCCTCTGGCACAAGTAGGTGGTGGTGTTTTTTTAATGTTTACTTATTTTTGAGAGAGAGAGCGAGAGAGTGCGCGGGCGCGCGCGCGCGCGCACGCACACACACACACACACACACACACACACACACACACGAGCGAGCGGGGGAGGGGCTGAGAGAGAGGGAGACCCCGAGTCCAAAGCGGGCTCCAGGCTCTGAGCTGTTGGCACAGCCCGATGTGGGGCTTGAACCCGTAAACCGTGAGACCATGACCTGAGCTGAAGTCACACGTTCAACGGACTGACCTACCCAGGCGCCCCGTGTGGCCAAAAGCTCTCTGCGTACTTAACACCCAGAATGATCTTTACAGAGAGGTGGGCAGGCTGGAAGGTGCTCACTAACTCCTGCATGGAGGTGGTCAAAGGAGGGGAGAAGAACAGAAGTGGCTGCCATTTTTACCAACATAAATGATTACTGACAGCAACCATGAGCACAACCCAGTTCCTTAGCAAGGGCTATTTAGGCTGGACCTACAGATGTCTCTAAGCAGGAAGAAGACAGATGGCCCCCGAGTACCTCTGTGCCGCCTCTGTGCACCTTCCAGGCAACTCTACTAGGCTGGAGTTACTCCTGTTTTTGCAAATTAGTAAAGCGAGGAACAGGGCTCTTGAGTAACTTTCCAGAGGTCGCAAATGTTGCCATTGGCCCAGCTGAGATCTGCATCCCTGCCTGTCCAACTGCAAATCCTTTATGTCCTACCATTTCCAAATTCCACTCCTGTTTCCCCTTCCAAGACGTTCTCAAGGAGACTGTTTTCCTTGTCCTGAAACCAAGGGGATCTCAAATCTAAAAACAAATCTAAAAACAAAGGACCTGTACATTTTCATTCACTAAAACTCCAGCTCTAACTACGGAAGAGCTCACAAATGAAATGGCTGCAGGCAACATGCAGGGGGAGGTGGGGGCGGCGTGGGAGATGGGGAGGATTTGTGCCTTTTCAGACAATCTGTAATCTGATTGTCACAAGGGAAAAAATAAAAGAGAGAGAGGATTTGGGTGCTTTTCCCATTAACATACCAAATGCTGTAGGGCTGGAAATGCGTGCGCTTGTTTATTTTGCACTCTCTCACCCTTGTGTTTAACTGCTCAAATTAAATTTCACACCAGTCTGCCCAGAGTATCGGTGCACGCGCCAGATATCCATAACTGGGATAAAATTAAAATCTGTGCTATTTATGCAGGGATCAAATATAGCGTGTGTTTTCATGCTGTGTCTGGATTTCAGAAGACTCTGAAAGTTTACAAATGGACGCACACAACATATACTTATATTATTTAGAAACAGCAATGTATTATTAAGTCAAGAAAGCGTGATTTCTTCTCAGCGTCACTGAGTAGCTGTGTGCTTCCAGAGCATCAGTGTTTTGTGCACTGATGCGATTCTCCCTGTGAGCCCTCCCTCCCTTTGTTGCTGGCCTGCATTGACCCCCGGGGAATTTTCCCCACCCAAGGCCATGCCTTAGTCTCCACCACCACATTCTCACTGCAGGGCGGTCATTGCCTTGGGAGTCCTTGAATACAGCGATTAATTGGGCAGCAAAAAGCTGGCCAGAGGGAGCGTGGAAGGTGATGTCTGCTGCTCACTCCCCAGAGCTCTAATGCATATGTTATTTTCCCTATACAAAGAGTCAGTCGCTTATTTAGAAATATAAATATTTTTAAACCAAACTAGAGCAGACAGCTAAGAAACACATGATTATAATGTAATCCACACATTTTCTTAGAATAGCAAATGTTGAACAGTCTTCTAACCATTCAGTTCCATGATTTGGTGTAATCGGGGGAAAAAAATGCTCGGGCATGAGCCAGCCAGAGCCTTAAGAAAGCCCATGCTATGATGTTCTAGTCCTTGAGTCCATGGTTTCTCGGTAGTAGCGCTACTGACATTTTGAGGCCAAATAAGTCTTTACTGTGGGGGCTGGACTATGCATTGTAGAATAGTTATCAGCATCCCTGGCCTCTACCTACCATATGCCAGCACGCCCCCACTTCCCCGGCAGTGACGATCAAAAATGCCTCCAGACAAACGCACCCTGAGGAGGCAAGATGGACTCCGGTCGAGCACCGCTGCTCTTATACAAAGTGTTGAGCATCACCTCCAGCTGCTCTGGGTTAAGACACGCATGGACAAAAACCATGAGGAAGCCGGTGCTCACGGCAAGAGATAGGGGTACAGGCTGAACCCCTGGGACCAGCTCCCACGCCTCAGGAGCTCATGGGAAGTGCGGATACAAACTTTTCTGGCACCTTCCTTGAGAATGCATCCCCCTGCTCTGCTCTTCCTGTATTTTGTCATTTCTACTACGTCCACCCTCCGCCTCTGGCTCTGGTTCCGTTGAGCTCAGTGGAGCTGGACAATGGCTGGTATAATGTTCAACGTAACGAAGCCTCAAACACCTTGGAGACAGCCACGCAGTCAGCCCCCAGGCTTCACCTCTGCCTGTAAATAATCGCTTCTTTCAGACCTGTTTTTTAATGGGTCTCCCTTTCCATTCCTCTACCACCTTGGTCAGTTTTCTTGGCCATTTCCAATTTCACTATGTGTGTCTAAGTGAATTTTACACAAAGTCGTGAGCACCCAAAATACTCTGGAGTTTAAATAATAACTCACGTAAATAACTGTGGCAATTTACCAAGAGCCCACTAGGTTTCAAGTACCGTCAGGCACTCTACCCTCACTGTTGCTTTTTCTCTTCGTAACACTCTGCCAAGACAGTTTTATTATCTTTAGTTTATTGATGTGGAAACTGAGGACTGGTCTGGTGAACTACTTCCTCAGAGTCACTCTTCTAGCTCAGAACCAAGTTGTGACCTGGAAACACAGGTCTCCTGCCTGACCTTGGCCAGTGCCCTCCTCCTGGAACATCCAATCTGCACGTGGTGTATTTATGAGGCTTTTCCCCCTAATCGTTTAAGAATACAAAAGCTACACGCATCTCTAAGGCAACCCTCTCTATCTGAATTTCTTTCAAATATCTACTGAATTAGATAATAGGAAACTTCCTGCTCACTTACCCTGAAACGTAAGACTTCCCAGTTCCAAACTAAGACATTCCCAACATCCCAAGTCTCTTATTTACATGGACTTTTACTAAGACATTAATTTTTTTTTTCACTTTCTAAAAATATGGCTAACATGACCAAGATAAAACACAAGACAGACGGACTTTGAAAGGCGGGCGAATCACCGGCCTTTTTCTGAATGAGGTTATTCATTATTGAGGCAAGTCAAGGACATAAAGTTAGAGACTGGAATGTTTCCAGGTATGGATGGAGCCCTGTCTTGGCTACAGAAGCTGAGTGCTAAGGGCTTTTTTTTTTCCCCCTATGGGGGCAGCGACAACTGTGGGCCTTTCTTGACTTTACACCTCTCAAAATTACCTTGAGTAAAAACACCAAGGCTTGAATCACACTCATTGTGACTCAGCTTCCAGAGCTGGCTGCAAAAATATTATGACTTCACCAGTTTGACTACAAGATAGATTCTCTCTCATCTTTTCCTACTCAAAAGTCGCTTGGGGCTGCAGCTGGACTTAAAACCCAAGAGGCTGGACCCCAGAGTATGCCACACGGAAGCCTGCGGGAACTAAGGTGCAAAAGAGCCTAGAAGTGTGTGCCATCAACTCCCGTGGTGCTCAGTCGAAAAATCGGCAGATTTGCAACTACAAGGAGGGCGGAGGGTCATTTCTGTTCAAAACAGAGAGAAACCACATCACTGTGGAGTCCAGAATCACCAAGTAAAAATTCTTCCTGAAAGGCAGACCACAACACACATGGGTTTCCTCCCCACAACCTGCCAAGTGTAAAGGAAGCATGGAGAGATTTGGAAGTCATTCACTCCAACAAACCCGTATGCAAATGATCGTGCTAAAGGGCGGAGACCCACTTTGGGCCAAAACCAAAGCCCCACCCATTACTCTCAGCCAAACAAGAGATAAAAGCCCAGTACTAGAAAGCCATTAAAAACATAACAAGAGTTTCTAAAAAAACAATCATTCCAAAACAGAACCCTAAACGGATACACATAAACATAAGGACAACGGTTCCTGGTAAGTTATTAAATGTGACGTTAGCTGGGCTACCACTGTGAAGCTAGAGAAAGCTGGGAACTGCACCTCCAATTCCAACAGGCAAAGGTATTTGATGGGGATGGAACGTGTACTTTCACAAATAAAATGAAAGATTGGCAAACTCACTGTATTCTGTTTTTCAAGAAAAACGACAGACATCAGATAAATTAGGGGAGATTGGTTCTGTTCCAAAAAGACACCCACCTGTAGGATTCAGTGTTAAATTCAGTGTTTGCCTCAGTACTGGGGTTACAGGCTGGGACACAGAAACTTTAAGCTAATACGCCAACTGGAGACCAGCCCCAGTGATTACACAGTTCCATAATTATAAATAAACTTCTCGGGGAAAACTGTGTTTCATCCCTATAATTCAGTCTGTACCCAATTTTCCGGGTGCACTTAGGTATGCAAGGTGCAGGCAGGCAAAGCTATGCATAAAGGGTCGTGCTTCCCGTGGTGGGAAACTGAGAAACTCTGTGGAAATGTACCCATGAAACTATCTCTTCCCTTGTTCATTGTCTCTCTTCCCATTAAAGTTCAAGTTCCTTCGGTGCACAGACCTTGACTGACTCTTCATGGCAGTATCCCTAGAGCGTAAAAGAATGCTAGCAAATAGTCAATGTTCAATAAATATTTGTTGCCTTGAATGAAGACCCACCGAAAAGTCCTACCACCAACATTTTCCTTCAAACAAAAATCTCAGGGCTTACTTTTTCCCTTTCTAAACTGGTCCAATCATGGCCAATCTCACCAAATTAACCTCACCCAAGTTCCCCAAAGAAATGGGTCTACCAATGCTTTGTTTCAATCTTTGCTAAATTGGTACTGCCATCTGTCTACTGAGTGAAGTTTAAACTCCTACACTGGCGTCCGAGCCCTACTTAATTTGGCCAGAACGCACATCAGCTTTGCCCCCTGTTCCCTTCAGCCCCTCTCAGAACACTCTTAATGCCACTCTGTCAACACATCTTGTTTCCACCTACCTGAGCAGTTGAAATTTTTCCTCCTCCTCCCCCATGTAGTAGGTCAAAGAGTGCCCCTCAGAAATGTGTGTGCACCTAGAACCTCAGAAAGTGACCTTAGCGGGATAGGTCTCTGCAGATGTAACTAGTCAGGAGGAGGTCATAGTGGATTGGGGTGGGCCCTGAGCTCAAGGAGTAGTGTTCTTGTAAGAAGAGGAAACACACTCAGGGAAGGTCAGGGGCAGACAGATGCAGAGAAAGGAATGATGCAGCTACAAGACAAGGATGTTGGGAGCCACTGGAAGCCAGGCAGAGCCAAGGAAGGATTCTTGTTTAGAACCTTCACTGGGAGCACAGCCCTGCTGTCTGTCAACTTGAGATCAGACTTCTGGGCCCCAGAGCAGAAAGAGAGTACACTGGTGTTTTAAGCCACCCAGGAAACCAATATACCCCACCTTCAGTCTTCTCTGCCTGCTGAAATGTCATCAGGGCTCAGTTTGAAAACCACCCTCCACCACGTTTCACTGCCCCAAACACAAATACGCCTGCCGCAGTGAATCTCCTAGATACCCATCCCTCGCTAGCACATGCTTCATTTCCTTGAGGAGGGCGGGTACCCGCCCTCCTACACCTCATCTTGCCCACGAGCCCAGCACAGTGTGGCACGTAATGAATGCTTGCTGAATGCATGGATAAACAGTACGCTCTTTTTGGCCACAGCCAACATAAACCCATGATCGCTGCCCATTCAGATTTCCCATGAGTGAAATGGATTCTCCTCCCTTTCCTCCCTATTTAAATATATCATTATGTCTAGGCATAAAAAGCTAAGGAAACTCTATTCTTGCAAGCAGGATCTCAGTCCAGGGCCAGTTCAGAAGCTGTTTTTCTTGCCTTTCGTCCCAAGTATTTTAATTAACCAAGGCCTCAGAAAGCTCTCTCACTGCAGGCCCTAGAGGCCAAAGATGTTTACTCCTCTGCAGAGCCAGGAGGGCACAGGTGCAGAAGGAACCACATCTTGTTACTTTGAGATCGGCCGCACCCTGAAGTTGCAAGGCAGACGCCCAGCCCCGTCTCTTGACTTGTCAAGACCAGCGTCCCACTGAGATGCCACTCTGAGTTGAGACGGGACCCTGAAGTCAGGCCAGGACACAGATGGCAGCCATGGCTGTCCTGAGGCACCTGCCGCCTGTGGTTCAGTGGTCCTCATCTCCGACCTCCAGCCCCACAGGGAACTCCATCCTCAGACCCAGCTGCCACCGCCACTAGAATGCTCAACGGGTGACACCGACCAACCTCCCAAGGATGAGACAGTGACCTGCTGGTTACAGGCATGGGCTGTGGGGCAGACAAGCCTGGGTTCAGAACCCAGGTGGGTCACTTATTAGTCATTTGGATCTTGAGTCGCTCTCCGCCTCTCTGAACCTTTTCCCCTTGCTATCGGGGATAGCAGTAATGCCCACCACAGAGGGTTTTGTGAGAATTCCATCAAATAACATACTGAAATCACTCGGCGCGGCACTAGGTACTCGTGAGCACTCAGTAATAGTGACTGTTGTGGTTATTGATGTTGTCATTATCACTACCAATCCCCAGATACTCCTTTATTCCAGACTGGGCGCTTTCTGATCCTGAGAAGAACGGTATTTATATATGTAGATGGCTCTTTTGTTGTAAGTCACCTCTACAAATAAACAGAAGAGACTGTATGTAACCAGTGACGGGCAGTATGATGGATGGGTCACGGGATCGGAGGATGGAGCTGACTCACAGCTGCACGGTTACCACTTGAGTGACTCCAGCTCAACTGCCTGGCCCTCATGGTCCCTGAGGGACTTACCACTGTATTTGTGGTGGGGATGATACACCCTAGATCGTACCTGGTCCCCTTGAGGGGACCCCACTGGAGAAATTCCTTCCGGATTCAGTGTCGAGGATTCCTGGAAATCTCCCGAACCAAATTTCAAAGGTCTAACAGGCACTCTAAGTCCATTTGCTTCTCTGCCGCGGGAGGCTGGAACCTCAGAGCCAAGTAAATCCACAGCCCACCGTTGACAGGTGCACAGCACCTCAGGGCATACGCTGGACACCAAGCTCTTGGGGAACCTCTTCCTACTTCCGGGGGACTTTCCAGTTGCTTCTTATTTTGCACTTCTGCCCCGATCTCCCCATTTGTTTTAATCCTACAGTGCTGCACAAACACCTTTATGATACCTTAAACTCTTTGTGAGGTGACCGCAAATAACTAGAGCAAATCAAAGAAAAAGCGGTTTGTTTCAGTTTCCTGTTTCACACATGTGGAGCGGGAACACAAGTGATAGCACTAGCCCTCACGATGCCGTTGGATAGGAGTGACTTAGCGTCAAGTGGAGCGTTCGCAGTGTTAGCATTTACGCCCTCTGCCCCCTACCCGCTTTCTAGAATTCTCGGCTCAGGGAAGGAAAACCCTTGAGCTCGCTAGACAGTGAAGCTCTGACTCCGCCAGGCAGCAAGATGGGAACCCAGAGGGAATCAGCCACAGAAGTGAGGCCTCCCCATTTCTGTTTGCTCAGCAGCAACACTCCTCACGGCCTCTCCCCGCACTGGGAGGGGGCACAGAGCCACCACGACACATGGGCCGGGGGACCAGAAGTCAGGTGACCCAGGTGCAACACCGGGTGGGACCACTCTGGCCAAGAATTCCCGCCTAATGTTCCTATGCTGTTTCTCCCCGCTTGCAGGCGGATGTCCCGGCCGGCAGCGACCTCACGTCTCGTTAGGGTGGCCTTCCGCGGGGCGCGCAGCAGAGATGGGCGAAGTGTCACAAAATGCAGTGGCCCAAGCCCGCGGCTCTGGGGAAATGCGGGCAACTTTGAAAATGCTCAGAAAACATGCAGCATTTCAGGGTGAGTGACATCTCAGCAGGATGCAGAAGACACTCACTGCTTTTGAGGCACCTGTGGCAAAGAGTAAAAAGCTTCTTGAAAGGTTAAAGGCGAAGGAAGGCAGACAAGAAAGAAGAGGAAGACGAGGAGGGAGGGAAGGAACGAAGGACAGATGGAAAGATCAGTGGATGATGGAAACAGCAAGAGATCAGTGGTATTCCGGTAATCTTTCTCCATCCACCTCTGGCTTGAATCTTTTTAGGACAAAGTAGTTTTTACATAAACGTATTTTTCCTTCCAATGCGGAGGAAGCCTGTTGTTTAACAGTGTTTTAATTGGCCAAGAGTAAACTCAACTGCAAGAAAAACCAAAGAGGACTTGAAAGAAATATCCCTGTTTATCAACAGGAACCAACATTTACGGAACACCCGGTATGCCTCCGCTAGGGAACACACTAGACCTTTTGCACGTTATTTCATAGGCTTGACTGTCCTCTCTTTTTATAGACGAGACAGCGGGTGAATACAAGAGGCTTTAAAACCAGAATTTAAATCTGAAGCCTATGGTATTTCTAAGACATATCAGGCCACTTTTATTTTTGAGAGTTTTCTCTCTCCATCCATTTCAAGGGAAACTCTGCATTCTGCTTTTCAGAAATCATCATTTTGGTCTCCCTCCAGGGAATTGCTTACAACCATATAGCAGCTCTTCACATTTTATAAATGAGTCCTCACCCGCCCATTCTGTTTCTCATTCACTCCTTCCTCAGCAAGGTTGTGAGGGCAGAGGAATGACAAGGTGAAAATCCCTGATGCTGAGAAGCCCCAGAGAAGCATGCATGGCAGAGCCCTGCACCTTTGCCTCCCTCCACGGGGAGGAAATCCTCGCAGCAGGAAGGAGTTTTTACCGTTGGCCATCACTGTGGCGGTCCCTGTGATTTCCTGCCTGGAGAGAAGGTGAGGGACAGGGGACCAAGGAAAAGGTGCCAAGGCCACCCTGAGAGGGCGTCCCTGTAATCCACCCTCACCCCTGTACCCCAAGAAAACCGCCATTTAGGAAGGTTACCTCGGTGCAGCACGATGTGGTCGATCATGTTGCGTTTGTATTTGGTGTGATAGAGGCAGAGAGGACAGCGGAGATCTTTGGGGCCCTCCTCAGGAACCGCCGAATGCCCGGCTTCCACGTGCATAGTAAAAGCAGATCTGGGAGAGAGGTGTGGGGGACAGGCAATGAGTGTGAGAGGGGATCATGTCACCCACACATCCCCTGCTGGCTATCTTCCTACGGGGCCTCTGGGTGTGACACCCCAGCTTGAGGGGCCAAAGTCGTAGTCGTTAATCATGTTGCTGACCACAGGCTCCTTGGTCACTCCTCAGACAACTGAACACTGTCGTGCAGCGGTAACTTCTTTTTGAAAGTTTTGCCACTTGGCTGGGTTCACAGCTTAGTTTGAAAAGCAATGGATTTCCCCATACACTTTAGTCTTCAAGATTAAAAGTTGCCTATTAAAAATATAAAACCAAAATCCCTATGAGAACATATTTCTCATCACACTCGGAAGGAGAGGGACTAGAATCAGGCTAATTGACTGGCTGCCCATGTGACTCTTCACAGGTAAGGGTGGGGAGGGCAAGTTGGCTGGGACATCATGGCGGCAGACGATCAGGTAAACCAAATACGGCTGTTGTAACAGCCTGAAGGGGGAAGGAAGGATTATCGTTGCCTTCCCCCCCATCCTCTTAAAAACTGCCGCATTTACAAAGCCTTAAATGTCTCGTAAAAATGGACGAAACCAAGAGTTTAATGGGCAAGGTCCCCTTCTTATTAATGCAAGTACTTCTCTCCCGGGAGACACGTACACCTGTCAGGGGGCCCTTGTCATCTGGGTCTTTAGCCTTTTCCCATTTCTAAGGTCACATGCATATTTATCTGAAAAACAACTGAACCAAATTAATAGCCAGAGATAGAACACATTTTCCAAAAAATCCCCCAACTAAGATGTTGGTGGAAAAGAGACTTGTTCTTCCAATTCATGTTTTTCTTTGGCCACGAAGCCCACTTTTGCCCGCCTTGTTGTCTGGGGTCTATATTGAGTACTAGAGTGGCCGAAGGCTCTGGTCTTAATTGCAACAGGAAGAGACAGTAACAGCCTCTATCTGTAACATAGCACCTACTATTACATTATTAGAATAGCTCTCCATGATACTGTAACATTTATTAGTGTTTCCTTTGTGCCAGCACTATTCTGAGTGCTTTGGATAGAATGTTCATTTATTCCTCACATGAGTCTTATAAGTTAGGTAGTATTATTATCTTTTTTTCACAGGTAAGGAACAGGAGGAACAGAGAAGCTTAGGCACTTGTCCGAAGTCACACAGCCAGTCGGTGGCAAAGCTGGGATTCAAACCCAGGCAGTCAGGCTCCAAGGTAACCACTCGTAACCACTAACCTCAACAGTGTTGCACAGGATGAGATTAAATCACAAGAGTCTAGATTACACCCTTGGACACACTCCATTCTTTGAGTTTGCCAATTCTGTTATACACAGGAGCAAAGGGGACTTTGGATTATCTTTTTCCAGATTGGAACCATCTCCCTAAAACTGGCTCAGTTCTAGTCTTCACAGTGCTGGAGTCTTGATTCTCTGGCTGTCTTTCAACAATATGATCTTAAGAAATACGAATCTTCTATAAGGGGAGCAGGGAAATCACAATTGCTGGGTTCTCTCTTGACTTTCACTTTGCTTTCAAAAACATATACATATTTTTTTCAAAGACAAATTTAAAAAAGGGAGGATAGTCCTCCGAGGGAAAAACACTCATTGCTTCATGCACTGGGCCAGAGAAATCCCTTACCGCAAACTCACACTTCCTGGGTGACCACTGGCTCTGATTTTTAAATCCGTTTGTTCTGATAGAGCTCTTCATCCCAAACCCCTTTCACAAACTCCAAAGCAGTCCTCTGGAAGTAGCCTCCTTTTGTGAAGATTGGACCTAATGCCTGTATCATCCCACGGGCAGGGCCTCCCCTGAGCTCCAAGTAGGAGAGTGTAGGGAAGAGTGTGGTGAGGGGCGGAACAGGCGCAGCCACCTTGTGTTTCGGGGCTGTTCGTCATGTCACTTACTTAAAGCCTGTGTAAAAGGAGCAGTCTTTGCACTTGAAGAGCTTCTTCCCGCCGTGCTTGTCCCTGTAATGGCGTCTGATGCTCTGGATGTAGCCAGAGGAGAATTCACAGAATTCGCAGTGAAGAACAGCTTCGGTTTTCTGCTCAGCACCCCCGGCGGCCCCAGAAAGAGGCACGGGGCTAACACGGCTGTTGTTCCTTGCCAGGGCAGCGGACTGGTAGTGGTTCAACTGCTGCTGAACATCTGGAGGTTCTGAGTAGGAGGAGTCTGTGGACAGACGGGGAAAACGAGACCGGACACAGAGAACACAGTAGAGGTTTGACACTTGAAAGCCCCGACATTAGTCTGGAGTATTTTTTTTTTTTTTTTAAAGATGAGGACTATGATCCGTCTTTCATCTTCATTTACATCCTACAACACAGATCTGGGGAAAGGCAGGTAGGAAGAAAGCATCACTTCTTTTAATTGCACTTTGAGGGCTCACAGCATTTAAAAATAAAACTCTGAGGTTAAAGGTTTCAAAGTGAAGGAAGAAAATAAACTGTTTTTAAAAAGGAAATCGCAGCGTGGCAACAGGCTGCCAAGGTATACCTGTCCTTGAAGGGGAGAGGAATAAATGCAAGAAGGTACACAGGCATCCACACGAGAAAGGAAAGTAGTTGATGCAATATCTCCTCCTCTGGAGCCCAGAATTATTCAAGGGGGGGAAAAAAAGGTCTTTAACAGAAATGCTCGAGCACATGGTGCTCACAAATATAAAAATGTTTTATGCCTTCACAGTCAAATGATTTAAAATTTAAAATATAAAGATCTAATAGTGTTCTCCTGGAATGGATGTTTAAAGCTTAGTCAGCATTAAGATGGAGATTTATTCATAAATCCCATTAAAATGAAACTCCAAATAAGTTTCCCTAAAAGGTATTTTAAAGTTTGCAATTCGGAGGAAAATGTCGGGAAATGACAGGCATAAATCTTAGCCCTGAGAAGCATCAATGGCATGTGGTGGAGAAATCTGATCTAGATGGGAGGTGGGAAAATCTCCGTTTCTTAAAAAAGATAGAGAGAGAGAGAGAGAGAGAGAGTAAAAGAAAGGTCTTGAACCTTTTCCCAACACGCTGCTTTGAGTGTTGGGGCTACGCATTCAACACCATTGTCCCGCAGAACCTACGGCTGCCTATGACTGGCACAAATGAAGTCCATGAATACCGCACAGATGAATTTCAGTGTAACTTTCCTTGAAAAGACAACAAAGGGCTCTTTTTTTTAAGGCTTTCAAAAAGCGGGGGGCGGGGGGGGGGGAAGGGGATAGAAACTGTACCAGCCTCCTCCTGATTTGATAGACACTTAATTTTCCAAAGCCCGATTCCCCGAGGCAGGATGTGGAGGAATTCTGTAAAACCCGTATTGGATGAAACCAGAGTCCATCCATCCCGTCGGCCTCTTGGAGAAGAAAAACAAAAACAGAGCAGCCTCCCTTATTGTGAGGCCACCTCCTGTCTTCAAAATCCTCAAATACCTTCCCTTCTTGCTCTCCTCTCCCCCCCCTCCTCAATTTGTATTCCTCAAGATTGAGAAAAACCCCTTTGGAAATTGTAAACAAACCTGCCACACACACAAAAATAAAACAAAAGGAAACTTGAACAATGCCTCCGAGCCTCCTTGGGTTCATTACCAGGTGTAAACCGAAGACAAAGGAAGAAAGGAATGACACAAGTGAATTCATTTTACCCAAGTCTTTTATCTCTGGTTTCTTTATTCCTCAGCCCTAGCTGATGAACCCACTCAGGATCACAATACCGCAATTGTCAACTTCTCATTCTTTCTTTCAATAGCAGGTTTGTTTACCATTTCATGGATTGTTCGAGATGTTTTCTATTTAAGCTCTCAAGACTAGTTTCTGCTTAAAATACACGCACAGTGAAGCACGAGGCACATTCCGCCTCTCCTGTGAACACAGGCTTGAGCTTCAGGTTGGGCATTGCCCAGCCACCATCTCGACAAGCCCATCCTTCCTCTTGTTTGCTCTTTGCTCTGCGGGATTGGAATTCCGCGCCCAGCAAGGCCAAAGCCAGGTCCATGGCCCGTGAGCCGTCTGCCACCCGCAAATCTACCCAGAGACCAGAAACAAACACCCCAAGGAACAGTCCGTTTCTCAAAAAGCGGCCACCAGCAACAAGACACAGCACCCAGCTCAGCAAGTCCTGCCGGTCAGCTGCTAGTCACATCAGACAGACAGACCCCTGACAACGTCAATCCCTTTACAGCAGAAGTCGTAAAGAAGTAAGTTTTTCCCAAGCAGATAACAGGCCACGTAAATTCATCTCCCCCTCCTTTCCACCCAGCCCAACTTAACACCTACGCTAATCTCTTAGGGAGACTCCGTCCAACGGAAGGGAGTTTCCTTTGATTTAACACATTTTTCTTGTCTCTAGGGTCTACTGCATTTTATTCCATCCATCCCAAAAAGCGAATTCTAAATTTTGACTTCAGCATATATATGTTATATGAAACTTGAAGAAATAGAAATGCAAGAAGTCGTAGGAAAAGCATTCCAAGAAAGGGAGGCTCATCGCCCTTCCGTCTTAAATGGCAAAAGGAACAGCCTCATGTATCATGCTATGAATTCCTTTTTGCCTGGCTAAAATCAGATGGACAGGTGGTTCATTTACAAAGACAGGCAAACCTCACCGCCTATGGTGCATCTGTAGTAAAGCCTAGGTTACAACATTTTGGGTCTCCTTAGAGCTTTACTTTCCTCTCTGGTGCCAAGATATACTATGTCTCTCATTCTCTCTCACTTGGGAGTTTGTGAATAATGTACAATTTTAGCACTTTGGGCACTAAAGTGACAAAGACGCGAGCGTGTATGATTTCACCCATCTTAAAAAAGCCCACTTGCTAACTACCTAAAATTCCAGCTTGTTCACAAGGCAGAGCCTGAAGAGCAGGAACAGGGTCGTTTTGTACCAGGTTAGAAAGGCAAACAGATTGTTAGTACTGAAGGGCACATCACCAAGGTTAAAAATCATCATTAAGACCGTTTTCTTCATTCCAAGCTTATGGAAAGTGAAACCACTCTGTGCTTCAGAGAGCTGGGCTTGCGGTCACTGGGAAATACGGCAGCAGAACCACAGGAGTGTAAATCCAGTGGGAAACTAAACCAGGCTACGTCTTTGTCACCTGGATGGCCAGGAATACTTATGATGGAACCAACGGCAGAGATGATGCTGGTCTCTATGTTCTTGACCCAACCCGGAGATATGCAGTCTCTCAATTTAATTCTCTGACCTGTGACTCTATTTATGTGCAAAGTTTTAGAAATTATGTCATAGTGTACAGCTGTAGGTGTAAAATAAATCTAAGTCACATTAGCTATCCATTTTGTAAACTATCCATGGAAAGAATTCTATTTTGTAAAGTCAGGATCAAACTAGACTTTTAGCGTGGATGGTCATGGTGCTTACAGACACGGGTTTGGAATTTATTGAACAGCCAGCAATTAATTCTCACAACGATGGTGTGCAGTGTGAGTTCTCATCCCAATTTCACCGATGAGGTAGTCGACACAGCTGGTTATACAGCTAGTAAGAGGCAGAGGTTGGATTTGGACAAAGATTTGTCTGACTCTAAAATCTGAGTCTTGCCCATCAGGCGTCTATATCTAATGGTGACCTCAGGTCCCACGATGCACATCAGAAGAACGAGAAAGAACATCAGAGTTTTCCATCAACGCTAAATATGTAGCAGAGAGGAGAGAGAAAAGGTGACAGAAAAATTGAAATACTTGGGAAAATAATTTCAGAACAGATAGAAATGAAAACAGGATAGAAAATAACAGTAAACTGGATGTGAAAGGAAACACTAAAATAAGCATTTCAGAGGACATGGGGGAAAAAAATAAAGCAAGATTCGTCGAAAAGAAAAAGAATCTCCAAACCTTCAAGACGTTTTATAGAAACAAAACACTGCGATCACACAGGAGGCAATTCTACAAGCAGGTGGCACAGGAGAGCACTGCAAATACCCAGATGGGAAACCAGCCAGCCCAAATGTCATGCTTTCATTAGATGCTTGATAAACTGCCCCCAAATAATAATGCTCTGAAATTCCTCAGGTGGGATGTGCCTGGAAAAAGAAATGTACATGGATGGGAGACGGGTACTTTCCGGGGCTTCTGGGACAGGATTTCAAACCAGGGAGGGGGTGGGGTTCCAGAAGAAACCTCTTGCCCCTCTCACGTAGCCATGTTCTTGGAGAAACGGAAGATTTCTTCTTGCCATACTCCAGCTCCCACAATGCCAGCCAAACCCAGGTGACTATCAGTTCAAGAGGTTTTGTTTTTTTTTTTCTTGTTTTTTCTCCGGAAATTAGCCAGCACAGAAACGATCACAAAAAACGTAATTTTATAAGGGCAGATGACAAAGGAGTCAACTCTGGGAGTGGAATGAAGCTTTCTTGAATATTCTGATGCTCCCCATATTTGGTCAGCACCCTGTCAGTGCCAGGCTGTGTGCTGGCTCTAGGGACTCAAAGCCAAGGAAGACACAAGGGGCCCCTTTCCAGAGCTCAGGTGTAGCGGGGGAGGGAGCAGAGCTGTTGTGACAACACAGGTCTTCTCCACGTCTTGCAAGCTCACCCCATTGACTGAAGGAACAAAAGAGGCAAAGAGAACAAATGCACAGTAATGGGAGAATTTAACTATTCCAAGATTAAGGGAGACACAAGGAAGAGTAAGAATCAATTGGGCAGTAAATTGTAGGAGCTGCGGAGGACAGCCCCCTTATGCACTGAGCGATCCAAAAAGGAAGCTGTACAGGACGATCAATTCTCAATTTTCTGCAGCTCCACAGAGAGGAAGTGAGTGAAGGTGAAAAAGTCGCAGAAGAATCTTGGTGCCAGCAACGACATTTAATTACATTTGAGCTAGATTCTCATGCAGACTTTGGGAGGCAGGCTCTTTGGTCAGTGCAAACCGAGTACCAGGAGAAAATAAAAGACAAAGGATTTTAGAGAAGCAAACTGTAGAGGGGGTCGGGGGGCAAGTGATTAAATTATATCCATTTGTCTGCAAATATATACTGTACATCAAAATCAACAGGAGACTCCGTTCTGGGGCAGTAGGACTGGGTTCCTGCCCTCAAGCGGCTCCCGGATAGACATGTAAATAACTGTGATTCCGTGCAAAAAATAAACGTCTTCATAGAGGCATCCACAAAGAACTAGTGGAGAAAAAGCAAAATCAGTATGCAGTGACTGATGAAATGTGG